ATATACATATACATATATAAAACTTAACACCATCACACAGCCAGTGTGTCAGACATTTACGTATCGCCAAACATACAAATGAACACAAACGTGAACACATGTCTAATCCATACGTCCTTTCAAAAACAAACACACAGCACACACACAGAGTGAAGCACACCGCCACAACGCAGAACAACACAAATAGTTTCAGGACCTCCATACCGTCAGCTCATTGAACAAGCTCGGATTTGACGGGACATGAAGATGGTACATACATTGAATGATATCATAAGAATAATATATATATTATAATGACCATCACCAATATTACTATATCATTGAAAATAATAATAATTTAATCATAATAATCATAATAATAATATTAATATCCATAACTATAAGATGAATACCATAATAATAATAATAATAATAATAATAATAATAATAATAATAATAATAATAATAATAATAAATAATAATAAAAATATTGAATAATAATTCCAAAATGGGTTGGGGTGGGGTGGGGATCTTCATCCTCAATTTCTAACGGCAAAGCCGATAAAGACTCCTAAAAACCAGTACCGTAATGGCCTAGTGGTATGAAGGTCCCTCTACACGTGAATAAAGTGAATAAAAATACCACGGCATCAGACACACACACAGCACAGACAAACAACACACAGCAAATAATAGGTCACACACAGCACAGACAAACGACACACAGCACAGACAAACGACACACAGCACAGACAAACAACACACAGCACAGACAAACAACACACAGCAAATAATAGGTCACACACAGCACAGACAAACAACACACAGCAAATAATAGGTCACACACAGCACAGACAAACAACACACAGCACAGACAAACAACACACAGCACAGACAAACAACACACAGCACAGACAAACGACACACAGCAAATAATAGGTCACACACAGCACAGACAAACGACACACAGCACAGACAAACGACACCCAGCAAATAATAGGTCACACACAGCACAGACAAACGACACAAAGCACAGACAAACGACACACAGCAAATAATACGTTGCGGCAACGTGAAGAGAAGGGAAAAAAAGCAAAAGCAAAAACAGTACACACACACACAAGACCACACCAGCAACCACGCCATCAATATACAACAAAAAAAAAAAAAAAAGAAAAGAAAGAAAGAGAAAAGTGAAAAAATAAAATAAAAATCAAGTCTGAAAATGAAAAATGAATGAAGGAAAAAAAAAAGAAGAAGAAAAAAAAGAAGGGAAAAAAAAAAAGCAACAGCAACACACACAAAAAGTACATGGTTGTTAATAAAGACGAAGGAAGTGACGCCGTCTTTCGGATCACTGAACCAGGGGGAGACGATCCATCCAGAAGACAAGCAAGAGGATCTCAGCTC